GGCGTGGTTGTAGAGGGAGTGGGGGTAGCTGTGGTTGTAGTGTTAGCCGGAATTGTGGTTGTAGAAGTTCCTTTGGTTGTCTGCAGTTTCAGTCCTATATTTGTGAAAATTGAACATTAAGACATAATATATATTTCATATTTAGAAGGTCAGTGAATTCTTCAGGGAAGAGCACTATCCTTATAGTGAGTTGTAATATGAGAGTGCATTAAATTAGCCTTCCTTCTATGCTTGCTCTCTACTTGGTGTTAGTAATAATCAGGTAGTCACACTGTCAGGAAGGTGAAACCTACCTCTTAGGGTCATCGTAACATGGACAGCAGTCACGTTTTGGAAGATCAGTGATTCACCAGTGGTCGGTAGAAAGACATGCAGAGTTCTAAGGAGTAAGACAGAGAGCACAATCAGTTAACTAAAATGTAAGTGATGATTTCATAGCCTGTAGTACAATGTGTTGTTATTTTTAGAATATTGATCATTTTTGGAGACCTGAGGGTTTCTCTCATTCTGTCACAAGTAATCAAGACTGTGCAGTTGCTACTAAATAAGGAAAGAAGTTTACGTACGTCAGTGTTTCAGGAGGAGGGGACACCACTGTAGTCAGAGTCTCCTGTGATAGGAAGAGAAATGAGAATGGACATGAAATGAGGACTTGAGGACACAGTCGTTTTGATGTACAGTACTGTAGTTCTCAAAGAGTGATCAGAGGAGAAACTCTGACACATTGTAAAGCTCCTCATTTTCTCACTCTGCACTCTACACACTGCACGGTATATACAGAGTATACAGACAGCACACACAAAGCAAGTACAAAGCACACAGTATATACACAGAACACTATACAGCACAGTATACACATAGCTCTGGATGATTCCTGTCTGTAGCTCAGGAGACATTTGCACATCAAACGTTCCAAACATAGACATACGTCAGAGTCAGGCATTGTGCCCAGCTCTATTAAAAACAAAATAGGGGAATTTGGCTCACACAATCTTTCTATCTCTGACACCCTTGTGTACAGTTCAAACCCATGTGAGAATCCTACTTTCGAGTCCATCGCCTGGTGCCATCATCCCACAGGTGCTTTATATAAGTCATTGAGGATTTTGTCATTACATTTCTGACTCCTTCATGGGAAGTTCAAAAACAATTTAAGAAGACAACTGGATGGAATTAAAAAAACACTCCTTGCATTAACGGTGTTAACAAAATGAATGAGATCCAACAAAAGGAACATGGGTGTCACACGCAATACTGGTTCAGTACAACACAAAGGAGGTAGGAAACAAAGTGTAAGGATTGAAAAGCTCTCCTTACTGTTGGCCTTGTAGTGGTGGAAGTAAAAGGCTCTTCTTCTCCTGACCCTGAAGAGTGATTGTCCTCAATTCTGTGAAGAGGAGAAGCAGTAGAATCAAACAACCTGGAAAAAGATAACTTGCATTTTGGTTTGACAAATAGGAAGACTATATTGCGAGGTACTTCTTAGAGGTATTTGTTAGTCCACTTACTTGAATATAACACGAACTAACAGATGAGTAGTTTAGCAGTATAGAACTTCTCATTTGGAGATGAGTAAATGACATCACTTACGTGTGTGTTGTTGGAGAGGAGGTCCCTCTTGTAGTCGTTGTCAGCTGTGAGAGGGATGGAAATGGGCACAAAAGAGAGAGAGATGAGGACAGAGCTGGGACAGGATTCAATGGAGAAAAGTACACGGTCTTCATTTTGTTCTTTTTTTATCACAAATTCAAAAGAAGGTTTTAAGAACAAGCATATAGGTTTAGTACAGTATGTATATATTCTGACTGAATATAGTTTAAAGTGGAACCGCGCCCCATATTTTGTTTACTACTGAACTACTAATTTACAATAGAAACAGTATTCAAAAATCACAATGTGGGTGTCCCAGTAATATATGATACCACTTGAATTCATTGTACGCTGGTAAGGACACAATCTATGCGGTCCACTCCTTCGTTTAACTGTGGACCTTGTAGCAACTGGGCACACCTTGGATTTTAACATTTAAAATGACACAGCGGAGAAATTAAAAAGAAGTAGTATTCAAGAAGGAGAATGTGGGTCTCCCAGTGATCTGTAACACTAGTTCAGTATGATATTCTGTACACTGGTAAGGACCCAACGTATGTAGTTTCAGAACCACTCCTTACTTTAGCTGTGGACCTTGTAGTAACTGGGATGTAGGGCTCTTCTATCCCTGAATCTGTAACATCGTCACGCTTAGTTCTGTGAAGAGAGACAGAGAACAAGAGTGGGATCAG